CTGGGGCAGCCCTGTATCACAGGGCAGCAGAGACCTCCCTTTTGAATTTAGAATACCTCATGAGAAAGCTGTGACTTTACATTATCAGGGAAAGGGTTAGGGAGGGAAACAGCCCTGCAGCTTCTGTTTGCTCTGTGACAACAGGAACACCTAGAAATAGTACAGGTGTCATCAGAGAGGTCTAGAAAAGGAAAGTGTGTTGCCAGTGAACTAGTTCTGAATGTGGCAGACCTTCAGAATGCTATGGGTTTATTAAAAATACCGGGGCTGGCATGTCAAGGACAGCTATTAGGGGTGACCATCACTGAGGACATTCAGACTCCTGTCTGCTCTCGTGCTAGATTCTGCTCTTTGCTGATAGAATCGGTATCGGGAGCTGTCAGGTTTTAACTTACACGGCTTACAAAAGATACTTAACTGTTTTATACTTCTTTAAGAGTTGCCTTTTTATGTCTTTTGTCCATTTTCCTAATGAGCTTTTTGCCTTGTAGCATATTTGAAATGTTTTTGGAGATATGTGTTCTCAATTTTGTACCCAGACTGAACTGAAACTTGAAATCTTCTCCCCTCAGTGTCTGTGCTGCTGGAACTACAGATGTGTGCCACTTTGCACACCTATAAATTACAATGAATTCTAATGATTCAACTTAATCTCCATAGCTTCAGGATTTTCCCCACCCCTGCCTTCCCTTAGATATCTCCTCCACTACATGATAATATTTTTTATATTCTTCTGTTTCCTTTTAGTACATGTATAGGTTCATTTAATTGCTAAATCTCATGATCCACTGTCGCTGTCATAATCCAGTGTCTGACCCTGGAGTTCAGACGTTGCTGATAAGTCTCACCCTCCTTTCCCTTTTGGATTTGATATGCTGTGTTCATGTGTTCTTTGGGTTCTATTATTTCTGGATCTTCTTTTTCTTCCATTGTACTAATTCATCGAGTTCTTGGACAGTCATATGTAAACAACATGCCTTGAAAAGTATAAATTTATCTTACTTTTTTTGTGTGTCTTGGAACAGGCTCTCAAAGTACTGCCCTGACTCTCTTGGGACTTTTCATATAGACCAGGCTGACCTTCAACTTGCAGCCTTCTGCCTCTGTGTCCTGAGTGCCATGATTGCAAGCATGTACCAGGACTAGACGGTTTTTGATGGTTTGTTTTGTTTTGTTTTGCTTTGCTTTGTTTTGAGGCAGACAAGGGTGGTGGCACATATCTTTAATCCCAGCACTCAGGAGGCGATTCCAAACCTGGTCTACAGAGCAAGTTCCAGCACAAGGCTGCAGACAAGGTTCACGTCTTGTAAGAAGTAGCCGAGGCTGGCCTGGAACCTATCACCCTCTTGCTTCAGCTTCCTACATGCTGGAACTAAATACAGGGACACACCACCACATCTATCTTAAATGTATCATACTTCTAATACCTGGTAGTATTGATGTCTCAGAAAATCATCTCACAGATATCTAGGCTATACTGAACAGTTAGCCAGCGTTGCTATTAAACATCCATGAAGGATGTTTCAATGCAGGTAAGCTATAGGCTGGTGAACCATCACTGCTCCCACCCAAAGCCATTGCTAAGGCCATGATCTTGACATCAGCAGCCCCACCAAGTATTGGAGATGTGGGTCCTGCACACTCTGCCCTCTCCTAGCCATGTGCAGGCCACATGTGACTTAAATTTGCTCCGGTTGTCTCTACTTGTTACTGGTGGGGATGGTTGTTACGATGGAAGCTTCACCCCAGCCCCTGGCATCCATAGACACACAAGCCCCATCCCATCTTAAATCCTGCTGCATCTCAGAAAGCCCGACAAATGATGACCCCTCCCCCAGAGATGCTCAAGATCACTCCCACAGAGTATTTAAACTGCTTCCCAGAAAATAGATTTTCTGGTTTCTTTTTCCTATACCCTCTCTGGGTGGCTGGAAGGCCATCTGGGAGGGCTGCATTGATAGAGAGGCTTATTGGGGTGCAGAAACTTTTCACAACCTGCACCCAGAAATAGGAACGACTCTATAGTACAGCCCCCTCTCCCCCAGCCCAAGACCAAATTCCTTGGACCACTCCTTTGAAATATCCTGTCCTCAGGTCTGGGAGGACTTGGCTCCCTCTGTTCCCCCCACTCCCCTCAGGCAGGGTGCTGGATAGACCAATCCCAGCCTCAGGTAGGTCTTCAGCTATGAGAAAGGCTACATATTCCAGAGCCTGCTTTTCTGCACAAACCAGGAAACATGAACTTTGTCTTTTAGGACAGAAGCAAGGAGGTCAAAGTCCATGTGAACAAGCCTGAATCCTATTCTCCTGCTGGAATTCTGTGTCAGTGTGTCTCCCCAGCCCTTACCAAAACCAGCTCACAGCAGCAGCAAATCCCTCCTCTGTTTCCAAGACGTCCATGTGTGCCTCTCCAGCAACCAGGAGTGTCACTTGCAAGGACCTGAATACCATTCATCTGAAATGCCCTCGTCAGGGAGGACAGGACTCTTCCAGGGTCTGGGAGAGCAAAGACCTTACTCTCATCATGGATCACCAGCGACACAGTCATTTCATGCACACTGACCATTTGCCTGCATGGTGCTGGCCATAAAACTCAGGCTTGGGCTCACTTGGCAAGCATTCTGCCACTGAAGGGATCTCTCGGACCTAGTTTTGTGAGACAGGTCTCAGTGTGTAGTCCAGGCTGGCTGGGCAGTTTCTATCCTTCCGACTCTCCTGAGTGCTGGGGTTATAGGCGTGCACCACCACACCTGGTTTAACCAACTCCTTATAACCCTGAACTTCCTTTTTCCTAATTTAACTTGAGCCCCTGATCACACCCCTCTTGACTACCTTATTCTCTCTCCCTGAAATGTTCTGTCCCTACTTTGAATACCTTTTTAAACTGTGTGTGTGTGTGTGTGTGTGTGTGTGTGTGTGTGTGTGCAGGCACACATACACACTCATACCACAGTGAACATGTGAGGATCAGAGGACAACTTGCAGGACTTGGTTCTCCTCCTTCCGTTGCGTAGGTTCTGGGGATAAATTCTGTTGCAGTCCACAGGATCATACAGTGAGATTTCAGTGGACAAACTCATCAGGCTGGCCCACTGGAATTATCAACGCATTCCTTTGAAGAAAAACCCCCGTTTGTAAAGCCTTGGGGAATACCTGCCTTTTGAAAGGTCATTGTCATTCCTGTAAAAATCCATGTGAAACCATAGGGCTCCACCTTTTCTCATAATGGGATTCATCCCCCAAAACCTCAGCAGTGTATTAATCTATTATTGGGCACAACTCTCTCTTGTATTGGTAAACTGGATAACTTTTCCCCCACACAGCGTGACCCCTGGTGTGAAAGTATTCACACAGTTAAGGAAAACTTTTGTTCTCATAGTCACATCTACATAACTTCGGAGCTAGTTCCCTACGATTACCTCTTACGGCAAGACATCAGACAAGGAGAGGAGCCTTGCAAATAGGCCCTATTTCAGAGCTCCGAAAGACAGGCACTGAGTAGGGGACATGGAATGTCTGTCCCATTGGCAAGTAGGACTGGGCAGCATTGATTCCTCTTCTAGTTGAGCAAATTTCAGGTCATCAGACTTGACAGCAAACATCTTTACTGAGCCATTCCACAGGCCAAGTTTTGTGTAGTTTGATGAATCTCTACTATCCCGGCACATTCCCACCTTGAGCATGGAGGTTAAGCTTCATAGCATATAGTTCTTGGCAAAGGGGTGGAAGACTTAATGTTACCAGAGGGTGAAGAGATAGATATGTACTCTCACCCCCGCTCTCCCTGCCCTACTGTGTCTATGGCTAATATGGGGCCTGGATTCCCTTTAGGGTGCAGCTATCTAGCTTAGATAAATTCTCTTTCTTGAAGCTGCATGGCTCTCTCTAAGCTCACACACAGGCTAGAGGTCATAGGGATTCCCGTGATAACCCATTCTCCGGGGGAAATGACTTTGAGAAGGTCTTTCCATAACCACTTGCTTTAAACTGGCTGGCCTGTGCCTGACACTTATAAAAGCCTGAACCCCCGTAGAAGCAAGTGCCTGGGTCCGGACCTCCATCTCCACAGCTCACTGACCCCTGTGTGCATGGTTTGGATGTGCTGTCCTCTAACCACAGCAGGACACTCTCTGCATCCAAAGTTCTAAATGAAGCCGACGGCTGTACAGAAGAAAGGAAACTAGGCAGAATAAAGCCACAGGCTCGAGGAGCTGCCAGGTCCAAGCAGGCTAAAGGCAGTCCAGGAAGCATCAATCCACATCTCTACCTTCCAGGAACAGAGGCCACTGCTGGAGATCACAGTAACTTCCAGTCACACTCGCACGCACACACACACACACACACACACACACACACACACACACACACACACACACGTGTGCGTTCTATTGGTCTGTATTTCCAGAGAACCTTGCAAGCTCACTCCTCGTTGCCCTTAGGAACAATCCGAACCCCTCCGCTGGCTCCAGGACCCCAAGGGTGAGTCTGCCTTAGTGTCTTCCAGTTCTTCACCCTCCCCGAGCCTCCACAGAACAGAGACTTTCGCCCTCCCCTGAGACACAGGCCCCAGCCTTGGAGTAGCTGATTCCTCATGACCCCAGGCCAGCAGCCCAACAGACAGATCAGATATTCAGGAACAGGGACAACCATGCTCAGAAATGGAGCCTGCTTTCTGCACAGGCTCTGTGCCCTCTGACCTCAGGGGACAAAAGTCAGTGGTTGAGGTGCCACTTGAATAAGCCTTGGTCTCTCTCCTACTGGGCAGGAACTGGGCCAAGTGTGGGACATTCAGTAGAGCCAGCCTCTCCTCCAGATCTCAAAAAAAAAATGTGAGGGTCCTCTGCATCCAAGTCCCAGAAGTGCTGTCCCCTTTCCTGTCCCCAGAGCCACCAGTAAACAAACAGAAAACATCTGAGTAGAGGGGACAGAAAGAGACAAACAGGAAACATGGCAGATGGCAAACTGACCAGAGGCCAGAATTTGGCTACTAAATCACAATCTTGCATCACCATTATTTATTAGACAGGAGTCAGCTTTCAACACAAGTCATGCTCACCGGGCCCCGACCCACAAGAAGGCTTCAGGGATTATGGCAGGAAGGGAGACATTGCCCATGGAGGCCCCAACCTAAGCTTTGGGCAACCAGCAGGCCCAGTATCCAGGAATCTGAGCTACAGTGTATTCTACTGCCACTCCCAAAATGACCCCTACAGGGGGGAGGAAGACCAAATAAATAGTCAATAAATAATCAAGGCTGGTTTTTATTCCCCTGGGAACTCAGTCACTGGCTGGGAACCAGGGGTTGTACAAGGCTCTGTCCCAGCTAGGCTCTGGCAACTCAACCAAGAATATGAAATCCATACTCAAACTGTCAGAGGGGTTGAGGGCATGGGCCGGAGGAGTCCCCTAGGCTGACATCCTGTGGTCTGCATCTCTGTCTTTCATCGTGCTGACACAGACCACATTAACTTGGGGACAGAGGGTCTTAGAAGCCAGGGAGGCATAGTGTCAGTAGAAACCCACAAACATTACCTTTGTCTGTCCCCCAGTCCCAACTCCAAATCTCTTCAATGCTCTCGGATCTGCCCCACCACAACCCAGTGAAGGGTGCAACCTCCTGGTAGGGATGGCTGCACTCCAGCTGACAGGTTCTGGAGAGTGGGTGAACGTATCTACAGAGGGAGAGGAAAGTGACTAGAACATTCCAAGGACACGCCATCCCTCTCCCATGCTGAGTGTCTTCACTGATACAAAAGACTAAACATGGAGGTTTCCATTTTGACCCAAAATACAGTGCACTGGGCTGAGTCCTGGCTTCTGCTCTCAGGACGAAAACAGACGCCCACAGCATCTCCAGACCCTTAGCTAGGATCTGCCTGGAAGAGAGAGAAAACTGCCAAGTTGGGGGGTGGGGGTGGGATTTAAGCACAGGTTGGACCTGCTGTGGCCTGATTGAGCGCAGGGCTTTCCCAAATGGAGGCTCCCTCATGGCTGGGAGGCTGAAAAAAGGCTGGCTCTTGGGGGGTGTGGATCCCACAGGGCTAGCACAGAGAACACAGGATCCACAGATTGGTGGGATCAATGGGAATGCAGGGTCTCCAGAGACATCAACGCTGGGCCATCCACAGCAGGGCACCTGAAAAGCACATCACATTAAAGGTCACCACCCAGACATCCCTTTACCATCCCCTCTGGCTGGAAAGCTCCCTCGGCTAACTCCTTTCCCTACCAGGACCAGTTTACCCACACCTCCCTCCGTCCAAGCTGGTCTCTCACTACCCTTGGCCAGCCTCACCTCACCACGGCCAACTTTCAGATGGGTCTCACCCACACCCTTACCCCCGACTGTTGTCTGGCAGACTACAGCTGAGGCTATGTGTCTGAGCCTCAGGCACTAGGGGACCCAGTCTCTCGGCAGCTAGCATAAGCCTTTCATTTCCCTTGCTAGACAGACTAATCCCCGAGTCCAGAGGAAGCCCCTGTGATGGTCCTGATCCCCTTTCTCCCCGACACAGCCCCGCCCCCCCCAGTTCATCCTCAAGTGAGTCTCCTCTCAGTACCTGGGGACAGAAGCCAGCTGGTCACTCTCGGTGGTCACTCCCACAGGAAGCGCACGTACCAAATGGTCTCATTCTTCAGTTGTGGCCCAAACAGGGGGTTCAGCTGGGCCAAGATGGCAATGAGCCAGCTGCCAAGGACAGCAGAATGAGGAGATTGGGCACAGATGGGACCCATCCCACATGCCAAGGGAGAACTTGGCTCCTCTGTCTTTCAAAGAGCATGTAGCTAACCCAGCAGGTGGCAGAGTCTGTGTCCCGGCTGGTACAGGGAACTGGGGTCAAGATATGTGGGTTTTGATGTGAGTTGATTTGATTTTCTGTAGGTATATAAGGTCCCTTGAGTTAGGAAGTGGTCAGGGGCGTTAGAGAGCCTCCCAGCATTGCCACACGCCCCTCTGCTGCCCCCTAGTGGTTCTACGGCGGCTCTAGTCCAATCACCCAAGCATGCATCCATAAGTGATATGATGCCCTGATTTCTATGTGACTGTTGAGTCTAGAGCAGAGCACGAAAGCTGTGTTTGAACAACCAATCTGGAGGATTCTGATGCCCAGACAGGAGTAGACACTACTGAGTTGACCCATGCATCTCACAGCTCATCTGAAGGCAATGCAAAGCTCATGCAACTGTCACCTGGGAGGCAGAACCAGACTCAGCATTGGTGGTCACCACAGCCCCCAGCTCCTGGGGGGAAGGCAGTACTCACAAGAGGTAACAGCAGACAGCAGTGGCTACCAGCATGGTGATGATCACTCTGCAACAGCAGAAAAGGTAAGACAACGTTGGCACACGGGGCCAGAGAAAGAGCTCTCCACGTGAGCCTTGCTGGAAAGGAGACTGAGTAAGTAAGTCTGAGTAAGTCTGTTCTCAGTAAGAATTATGAGACAAAGCATAAGACCATCAAAGGTCATCTGCATCCAAGGTATCCCTTGCTCTCTCTTCTCCATCAGCAAAAACTTCTGTGCCTTAGTGCTGGGGAAGGCTTTGCCCAAGATTCATTTGTGGCAGCCCACCATAGAATGGCCTCAAAATCCATCTGGCTACGCCAAAGAAAACAACAGATCAGAAGACCGGGCAGGAAGCAAGGAGGCAGAATCAGTGTTGACAGGGGCCGGGCTGTTATAAAGAAAACGGGGGCTCAGAGAAATCCAAGGACAGAGGCTTCCATCACAACTGGAAAGATGTGTTAGACACTGGAGTAACTACAGACTAAAGTCATGGAGCCCAGTTTAAATATTTTCTAACTTATGTATTTTTACTTATATTGTGTATGTGGGTATGCGGACGTCAAGACAGTTGTGAGTCGCCCTATGTGAATGCCAAACGTTGGTCCTCTAGAAGAGGTTCTCTGTTGAGCCATCTCCCCAGCTGCCTTCAGATTTGCAGGAATGCCCCATCTGCAGCTCCAGCTAAACCTTAGGCTAAACCTAATCCAAGAGAACCCAAGCACTTCAAGGTGGTGCTGAAGAGATTAGTACTGGATCCTTCCTTTAACATTAAGAGAAAGCTTGGACCACACTTGGCCGTACACTGGACAGTCAGTGTTGAGACAGTGGACGAGGGGGCAAAGTCTGAAGGCTTCTTGACTGAGGGGCTAACAGGAGGAGGGACTGGTACATGGTGCAGAAATCTGCTAGGAACCTTCCAAAACTGAAGGGCACTAAAATCATCCAGCACACACAACCTGCTCAGGACCCAGGACGTTGCTTAGGGCAACCCTCACAACAACAGCCTTATAAAGCAGGTACTGCCATCGTCCCTGTTTTCCTCAGTGAGGAAACTGAGGCCCGGCATCTGCCCAGTGTCACACAGCTGGCAAGGATGGCACATCAGTGTCCGTGGATGGCCTTTACCAACTGCGGGTGTGTGTGTTGGGGGTGGGGGCATTTAACCACATTCAAACGTCCCCTGACTTCTGAATCTACCCTTTCACCAGCCCTCCTGCCTGGTTTCTGACTGCCGCGACTCAGGTATAGATCTGGAAGAAGTCACGGAGAGGCATTCCGGTGTGGTTACGAGCTGCAAGGTAGCAAGCGGGAGCCCCAGGGTGAAGGGGCGAGCGGAGCCAGGGGACAGGAGAGGGTCTGTAGGAAATCGAGGCCTGCTCGCCTTTCTTACCCGCGGTTGGGTCCTTTGGGCACGAACCAGGGCCCAGCGATGCCGATGAGGCCCCAGAACGTGGTGAAGATGATGACTGGGAGGGCAAAGGAGTGTGCCGTCATGGCTGGGTGCGCGATGCTCTGCTCCGGTGGGATGCTGGGTCGAAAGGCGGATTCTCCAAGCAGGTGCACGTCCTGGAGGAGGGCGGTGAGCATGCGCGCAACGGGATCCCTGTAGCACAGGCCCTGGACCAAGCGAATCTGCGCTGGTGCATCTCTGAACCCCGCCCGCTGGGAACACAAGCCTAACACAGCCGACACACCAGCTGTCACTCAGGGCCAAGGGCGGGGCTTCCGAGGAATCCTTATCTTGATTGGCTCAATTGGGTTTGCCCCATCGCAGCTGGTTCCAGGCTTGGGTTTGCCTTTCCTTTCTTATTCCCACCACCAGGACGCTGTGGGTCACGCTTTGTGATCTGGCAGCCCTGGGTGTCTGGGGACAGAGGGACATGATCTTTGCCCCCCAAATGTGGCCAGCATTCTACCTATGGCAGATGTCTAGTCCCCCTGCAGAGCTACGAACCACAAGCACTTCTACTGTAGGGATTTCTCTTACGTTGAGCTCTACATGGCACAATCTGGCCTTGAACTCGCCCTCTCCCCCCACTCAGTCTTCCATGTCTGTGACTACAGGTTTGTGTCATTGTGCCTGTAACGGGGGCAGATGATGGACTCTAGTCGGATGCACATCTGCAGAAGGGCCTCTGGCAGCTGTCTTGACTATGTATGGAAAAAGGCTAAAATATAAGTTTACTTCAGGCATCCATTCTTGGATACAGAGGTCAACATAACTTTGGGTGCTGAGGGTAGCAAGAGTTACGGACAGAGGCAGCGTTCAAAGAGCGCAGCAAGGCCCAGTGTGACACAGCCATATCTGATAGGAACGGCACTAAAGCCAGCACAGCTACTTGACAAAGATCCAGCAACGCTGAGCCAAGTGGTGGCCGAAATGCCACCACGTGGTTTTGATTTTGATCTCTGCCTGTTGCATACTCCAGGGACTTTTAATATTTGTACAATTCGGGGATATTGGATTGATGGAAAATTTCACATGAATCGTTTATGACTTCTCCTAGGAGTACTATTTCTAAGCTTCCTCAGAAAAGTCCTGAGCTTGCTACCCCTCCTGTTTTTTAGGGAGACATCCTTAGCTACTTGTACCTTGGAGGTTGTGACACACATGAAGAAGCCAGAGGTCTCTATGAGGCTATGAGAAACTCTTGAAACATTTGTCCCTGTACTTACACAGGACAAGATACTCAAAACAAAATTACCTCAAAAACGTCAACAAAATTTGGTGGGCTAGAGGAGGTGGCCACAGATAAGACTGCAAGCCTCTCCCCGCCATACACTCAGGCAATTCGGTGCCGTATACAGCAACAAAGTTAGATCAGCTGAGGTTACCTCTGTCCTACACAGAGACTTATACTGATGGGCAAAGAATGATGTAGAAAAATGATAGAAGTATTCTATAAAGATATAAACGTGAGCATTGTATTATTCTAGAATTTGAATAGCTGCAGCTAAGAAGTGTCCCATGCCTGATTCCTCCCATTGCTGCTCTTGCATACACCCTGCCCTCTTCCGGAGGTGGACTCTGGCAGCCCAACTGTGATACTTGTTGGGGCCTAGCCCCCACAGGGTCTCTGAGTTGTTTGTCAGCTGATAGCCACAGCTTACTGCCCCCGCATTGCCCCACTGACTTCAGCATCTAGCAAGAGGAAAACATGCTCTCCTCCAGCTGGGGTTTTTCTACTGTGTTGTAAGACTATATATAAGACTGCTCCCTCCTACAAGAGAGAGACCTCTTAGCACTGGAAAATAAAGACACTCCTTAGTACAAACAGCTGGACATCATCCGGTCATTCTTTTCCTGATATCTCGGACTTGCTTGGGGCGCGGGTGCCGCAATACTGACACAGGAAAGCCTTCTGGGGTCTGAGGATAGTATTCACTCACAGGAAGACCTACATCGAGGAGGTTCTGTCCTGGAGTCCCCAGCAATGGGCTATGACACTTGGAAGGTGCAATGTAGCAAGCAGTTGCACCCTGGGCTCCCCTCACACGTAGAGAAGGCAGAGGCATGGCAGGCAGGCCCCTAGGTCTTAGCTCACCCCCTCACCTTCCAGCGTGTTCCTTAAAGAGGCTGCTTTGCTACCTGGCAGGTACTGCCTTCCCTGGGAGCGTTCCTGCTAAGACAATGCAAGGCCAGTGCCAGCCGAGACTGCCTATGGCAGGCTGTTTCCAGGCTACACCCTCCCCCTCCATGGGAGGCCCGGGAGGAGTCTCCAGCACCACTGTGGGCTGCCTCTCCTAACTTGTAGCTGCAGAGCTCTAGCCCAGAAACAGTCACCCATGCTGTTGCTTCCCGTGTTTCTCTAGTACCCTGAAAACCACACACATGCATATGCGATGGACTGAGTCTCCCGGCCGGAGATTTGATAGTATCCCGGCATCTGTGGCACTTTGCTCCATCCTGCCAGGAAGGCTAGCAGAGGGCATCTGACCTCTGAGCGGAACTGCAGAGGGTCCCCTGAAACAGTTCCTTGGGAATTCTGTTGGGTGGTGTCATGGCTTTGGCACTGCTGGCTTTTGGATAGAAACCTCTGATAGTTAATGATGTGCTGAGCGACAGTGACTGTGGGACACTTGATCCTAACTAGGGGTGCATGTCACCCCTGTTTCCGTCTTCTCATACTCATGGGTAGAACGTCTCGGCTCACTCAGGATTCAGAGAGGAAAGGCCATACAGCGACAGCAAGAAAGTCAAATTCTGCTTTATCAAATAGCAAAAGGTAAGACTTGAACAAGGTGTTTTAGCCTAATTTGCATATCCTTGAAACAGGAGCCCAGAGCACCCCAGACCAGTCATCCTTGTTCCCAGAGACACACAGAGCCAGTCTGAGGGAGCTGGTGGTGACCTCCACAGACCTGACCACACTTAGCACTCTAGAAACTTATCCTTTGTGCCACAAGACCCGGAGGTGGCCACACTCTACTGTGCCCAACCGGCCAGGGCCTGGGCTCCCTCACTCTCAAGTCTCTTTGGCTACTAAAATCAAAGTGCTGAGTGCAATGCTGGGTACTTGGAAGGGCGGTCTCCGGGGGGCACCAGTTATCAAGGGAGGGGAGGGATTAAGTACTAGGAAACACAGGAGATGCTGTCAAGGGAACAGGCGCACACCTTTAATAATCCCAGCTCTCAGGAGGGGGGGGTACTCGGATCTCTAGGAGTTTAAGGCCAGTCTCATCTATTCAGAGACAGGCTGGTGGGATGGAGGCTGATGGTGTCAAGCATGTGAGAAGGCAAAGACTGAGGGGGAAGGCCAGGGCTCTGGCTAAAGGGGCAGTGTCTCCTCACAATGCCCTTTGACTTGTTTTCCCCTGAGGCAAAACCAGGGTGCGCCCAGTGAAATGCAGCCAGCCCTAAGAGCAAAATAGGACCAGCTTGAACACAAAGGCTGCAGGGTGAGCATGGTTACCATGTGTCCACCTTGGGGGGCTACATGAGAATATCGCTTCTTTGTCTTGAGCCGGCAAAGCGGCAATGGGGAGTACCTTCTCTGGTCAAAACACTTGAGTGAGGCAGACACCTAGGTTAAGCAGCCTGTTCCAGGCATGAATGGCCACACAACGTTTCCGGTAGACTTAACCTAGAAGCACCCTGCTCCATGGAGCCCCCTTTTCTACCTGAAGAAAACATTAGGAGGTGACCCCAGGGTGCTGGCGTGGAGAGGACAGGGTAGCCACCTCAGCTCCCCAAACTTCATTCCAGTAACCATGCCTGTATTAACTCACAGGACGGGCGTTCTTGCTTGGGGGACTTTTAAAGGAAAGATGCTATGGGAAGCAGGGCGTTGCTGCCGCACGCCTTTAATCCCAGCACTCGGGACGCAGAGGCAGGAGGATCTCTGTGAGTTCGAGGCCAGCCAGGCCTACAGAGCGAGTACCAGGACAGCCTCCAAAACAATGCAGAGAAACCCTGTCTCAAAAAAAAAAAAAAAAAAAAAGATGCTATGGGAAAGGGGAAAGGTAAGCCATGTGGATACAGACCTATACCTCAACCCTGACTGGGCAAATCCCTGAACTCTGAAAAGATGCCTGGGCCACCTCCTAGACCAGGAGCCAAAAGGCCTGCCTGCCCCTTTTCTCCAAGTCCCCAGGCTGGATGAGAGATTTTCTCGAGTGGGAAAACTATCTACTGCACACTAAGTGGCTGAGAGCCGTGAGGTCTGCATAGCACTGAGGCACTTGGTGAGCACTGCTGGGGTGTTTGGCACCTGAGGGAGGGAGAAGGCGGGCGGCTTGGTGCTCCAGGCAAGCCCTTCTTGCCAGAACTTTGAGGCTCCCACCGACTAATGCTACGGCTACAGGGAGCCAACACAAGCACTTGGAGTCTCTGTGGCAACCACGACACAAGGAGTAAAACTGAGGCACAGAAAAGAGGAAGGGGTTAATAATCACGGGCACATTGTCTGCAGAAGAGCTGGCCTGGATTCCACGCCTCCTGGTTCCCACCTCTCGTGCTCCTCAGGACACTGCCTGGTACCACGGCAGCCAACCCTAGCCCGGGTAGGGAGGGGGGACACGGAGCTCCCTTCAGAGGAAGCAGGCATTTCTCAGTGTGTAGGAGTAGTGCTGAGACCTCCTTTCTTAGGACGTTGGTCTGTTTTGTGTTAAAGGCAGGCCTCGAGGGGTAGGGTCTCCTTGATTCTGCTGTAGGAGCCTCCGCAGTGGTCCAGAATGGCCAATCCTAGGGGCGTCTGCCGCAAGCCAAGGTCCCCGGACCATGGTCATTTCCACCACCAAAGTGGTCTTTCTCAGAGGCCGGGGATGCAGAGAGCTGGGATGTTCCTTTCACCTGCTACCCCCACCTTCCCATTTTAGGAAAGTCCTCCGACACCAGAATGTATGGGGTGAACAGTCCCATGGCAGAATTCTTTCTTTGGGAAAAGCAGACTTGAGGTAAGTGCTTCCCTGGCACACTTTTGCAATGGGGGGGGGCATTGCTGTGCCTTGATGGTCTTGTCCCTTGGGAATGCCTGCTTCAACCCTGTGTCACTGCCCACTTTCTGGGCCCATGAGGTATCCCACCAGGACAGCCTAGAATCTTCAGAGAGTCTCTCGCCATGATCAAAACGCTCCAAAGCCTTGCTCAGGTCACTCTTCAGAACTGCAGGGCCTTTGAGGTGGCTCAGGGTCCAGGAACCTTCACCATGTGATCCTTCTGCGCCTCATGGCTCCCCAGAGGGTGTGATGGATGTCTTCCGTCCAGAGACTCTTCCTTACAGAGAGTTGTCATCGCCTCCTTCCTGAGCTCGGTATCTGTGGAGGAGACAGTGCAAGCACACAGAGGGTGGGTGCCTTCCCTACTCCACGTCTAAGCGTGGTAAAGGCAACACTCAGTACAGACCAGACAGGCCAGCACTAAATCTGGCTGGAGGCCAGGAACCTGCACGCATCTACTGTATTGGGGGCCCACGGCAAGCAGGCTATGTTCACAAAGCCTGCTAAGGGATGGCAACATCACACACAGCTTGCTAGTGCCTTCATTTCCTTCCTTGTGGGTACCAGTCTCACCGTTCCCGTGGAGAGGACAGCGTTTCCTCCCTCACCCCAGTGCAGGGGATGGACTCAATGAGGTCACTCTTTGCTATCACATGGAAGCAGACACACATCTCCTACTTCCTGCACATTTGTGGTGTAGGCCATCAGTCTCCCCATAAAGCCTTTGTTACTGATACTCAAGTTCACTGCCAATGACCACAGGCTGGTGGCGGGGGGGGGGGGGGCAGTGGGAGCAGTAGGAAGGTGATTGGTGGGAAAATGAGAGAGACAAGCCCTCTCCGTTCCTGCTGAGCACCAGGCAGTGTAGAGAACCCTCACTGGTGGAGGAGAGGGAAATTTCCCAATCGGCTGTCGGGATTTTGCCCTATGATAGAATACAACCTCACACTCTCTGACTGGTGAGATAACAAAGCCTCCCCATCTGTTTTCAGGCTCCCCTGCTCCAGGGATTCCCACAGCCCCAAATGAAATACCTCTCCACGCCGCTTCCTCCATAGCCACCCTGACACTCACTGCTGTCTTCTCTCCTGGAACCACACTGCCTGCCCCAGAGTCAGCCCAACCCAGATCAGAACACGATACCATCCCGGCCAGATACCTCCAGCCCCTGAAGTTTAATTTCCAGCAGTAGGCTTCATCTTAGCGCCATGTGCCGTGCTGGCCAGACTGTGGTGAGCTAACTCACTACTAGATGAAAATCCCAGCATGAGGACACTGGCTTGCAGAGGAGCTAGACCTACAGCTGGGGCAGGTGACTCCGGACTGCTTTCATGAGCCTGGGCACCAGATCTCTCTAGCTAGGTGACATACTCCTCCAGGATAGTTCTCCTGTCTCCAGTTCCTCCCTGCAAGTGACTGAGCACCTGTACACGCACTCCATACATAGGTCCCTCCTTTGTGGGTTGACCTGCTCAGACTCTGGCTCATTGTGGGACTGGGGAAATATGGGGCTCACCTCTGGTTCCCACACAAGTTGAGTTTCTGTATACTTACTGGCACGGGAGTGGGTAGGCACCTGGGCACAGGCATAGGCGTGGTGGCTGAAGCGTCGTCCTGAAGAGGTCATGTACCAGTGCTGGATGGCTGGCTGGGGGTCATACTCTGTGACTGCCACGCCATTCACGGCTGTCATCATCAGTGTGTTGAGCACCTCACTGGAGAGCTTAGTCCTCTCACCGGTCCTGATCCTGTGCATGGCCTTGAATCCCCGTTCACAGCAGGAAGCAGAGATGGGCAGGCTGACGGCTACAGCCATGAGCTTGCTCAGTAGAGGGCATCGGTGGTGCTGGGTCAGGGTGCTCTTACACAGCACGGAGAATGGAAGGTTCTGGGTAGCCGTTTTCAAGGTCAGCCACTCCTCCAGCAAGGCTTCCTCACTGTAACCCGCAGGGAGGGAAAGCTCAAAATACCTGGCAAGGCTGAGAATATCACTGTTCCCAAAGCAGGACAATTTGACCCCGCTAGGCCAGGCCGTGGTGTCTAACACCTCCATGTTCTTGAGCTGTGCGGGGCGGTCTGCAGCAAACCTCTGCTGGAGGTACTCAACCCCAGTCAGGATCATTCTCTCCCGGTCTGCCTGGAACCGCTGCTCTGCCGTCTCCACTCTGTCCAGGAAGATGCCGTGGAGCTGCCCATCCTGGAAGCTGGCATTGAACTCTTCTTCTTTAGGCCCGGCCTGTCGGCGGAGACCGTCCAGCGCCACACAGGCACGCCCCAGGGCAGAATTCACTTCTGTGACCAGAACAAGCTCCTTCTGGCACACCTCAGACACAGGCCTGAAGATGCTCAGGAAATCCGAAAGAAAGTGACAGAACTTGATGAAATGGAAGCTCTTCATTGGCTTCAGCAAGCCCTTGGCCCTCTGACCAGCCTGGCCCCCAGCGTCTACCACACTCTGAAGGTGCCCAGTCAGGGCAGGCCAGCTCACAATGAGCGCGTTCAGAGTGCGCCTTTTGCTGGCCACCCACCTGACGGAGTTCGGGTCCTTCAGACGGACGATTTCCTGCACCAGGGGAGCTGCAACACCCTGCAGCTCACGGAGCCTCTTGTTTGAGGACTGATAAAACTTGAAGACGGTCCGGATACGCCGATCACACCTCCTCAGCAGGGCAGTGCTCCCACAGGCGTCCACCACCGCCACGTGCAGCCGGTGGGCCACGCTGTGCACAGGCAGCAGCTGAGGGATGATCTCCTGGAGCTTTCCCACAAGGCCTCCCTTGCAGCTCAGCATGGCAGACCCATCCGTCCCCAGACCCACCACCCAGCCGGGCTTCCGGAAAGGGATATCCAGCTCATCCAGGGCAGCTATGATGGTCTCAAAGTACCCATCTACTGTCTCACTGGAGAGAGGGGCTAGGGTGATATAGGACTCCTTCACCTCCGCCTCCTTCAAGTAGCGCATGTATATCCCCACGCAGGCCTGGTTGGGGGTGTCCATGCAGCTGTCCAATAGCAGGCTCGCGCACGGGGCGTTCCGAATGTCTCTTAGGATCTCCTTCTTCAGAGTCTCGGAGATGCACTTGATGAATTGCGTGCAGGCAGTGCGATTCCGGTACTTGCCTAACAGCGTAGTGCCGGTGTTCTGGAGGAGTTGCAAGACCTTCCCGAAGTCATTCAGGGGCCTGGAGTGGTAGGCAATGGAGTAGGCGGCATTGAAGAAGTGCTCCATGCTGGCCACGAGGTCACTGGAGATCTCTGCGGTGAGGGTGGGCTGAGGGCTGTCGCCTCTGATCTCCACGGTGTTGACGCACAGTTTGTGCGCCTTACTGACCTCATGGTACTTTAGGGTTTCCACTTTAAAAGGCCCAGCGTAACCTTGAACCAAACGGGATGACTCGTCACGGAGAGTTGGTCTTTCTCTGCAGACAGAGCAGAACAGCGTGGTCTCCTGGGAGTCCGTTACTAACCAGGGGAACTGCCCAAACCACGACCTCTGAATGGAACGGGGCCTGGATGTCCTCTTGACTTTGCTAGATCCATCCACATCTCCTTCACTGCTGGGAGGACAGTGAGAGGCGCCTGTCTCCGTGGAGGCTGCAAGTGAGGGCTCTGTAGCCGAGGCCTGGGTTTGGATGTTGGCTTCTCTCACCGCCTTCATCTTCTTTTTTCCTTCGGAAAAAAAAAGTAAATTATGTTTGGCTTTACTATTCCGGGCTCTGCAGTCTACCGACTACACCTGTGTTGAGTAAGACACCAAAACAGAGAAGCCAAACACGGCCCCTCCTACTAGAGATCAATGCCAGCCTCTACGAGCTCTTCCCAGCAGTACTAGTGAAGGTCAACCTGGCTCCCCAGCATAAGAGGCATACTCTTGTTTTTCTGCTGGCTTCCCCATCCACTCACCCGATACCCCCAGGACTATGAGACACCAGATGCTGATGAACTTAATCAGCCACTCTTGGCCATAGACATTATTAGATAAACAGGCAACTTTAATCTGCTCGTGAAGCTTCATAAACCAGTGAAGTGAAATCCAAGCATCTTCATCTCATGAGTCTCAGAAAGGAGGTCAAGACTCCCACAGAGCAGCTCCTCGCCAGTGAGTTAGGGACTGGGGTGTGTAAAACAGGTAGTTTTCACAGGCCACAGAGCTGTCACTGTTCTCTGAGAGGGGAGGGAGGGGAGGGGAGGAGAGGGGGGAGGAAGAAAGGAGGAGAGGGGAGGAGAGGGGAGGAAAAGAAGGGAGAAGAGGGGAGGGGAGAGGGGAGGGGAAGGGAGGGGAGGACAGGACTCATAGTCAGGCCCATTCCACAGCTCTGTCTAGTGTCTCTCGTTTACCTCCCCACAGCTCGGCCACAGCTGCCAGCACTTCCGTTCGTCAGAAGACCTAATTTCTTCTGTACTGCCCCAGTGGCCTAGACTGTTCTACACAGTCTCAGGTAAGGCTAGTTCCTGATTCATCTTTTTTCTACCTGTGGCCGAGTAACACAATCGGCCCAGGACAAGCATGGCTGAACTCACGTTGCGTGGCTTCCCGGAGCTACATGTGTCCAGACTTGTGCCTTTTAGAACTTGATGAAGCCAAGACTCACCTAGGGAGCGACTTTTCCCCGACTTTAGCCCGTTAGGGTCCTTCATCCAGGGTGCAGCTCTCCGTTTCAGTTCTGTGATCAAGTCTGGCTCGGCAGCCGGTGGCTCTGCTGCAGAAATGAAGATTCACAATATAACTGGGCTGGGAGAGCACACAGCCCACCACAAGCTAGAGCTGGCCCTGCAGCATGCAGAGAGGACTGGGTTCTGACCCTGGTAAAGGTCAGTTAGTGGGACAAACTTAGAACATACTCATCCGGACGCCAAAGTAGAGGCCAGGGAGAGCTGTAATTCTTAGCCGGCATGGACTACATCTGTGGCCAGTGTGTGTGTGTCTGTGGGGGGAACCAAGAGTCAGTGAGATGTTTCCAGAAGAGGAGTGGGGAAAAGAATCAGAGAATAAAACAGGAGAAAGATGCAGGGATGCAATACAAAGCCCTATGCAAGAGGCTGAAGTTGCCATCAACTGCCTCCTGTGTTTAAGCCCCACCCCCATAGAACCTCAGCTGGCTTTTGTGCAGGTAGCTACTAGCTGCACATATTTGAATGAAGAACCTTTGAAGATATCTACCAACTGCAATGGACCCTGAAATAGGATTAGGAGAGCTACACATTCCTCTTTACTTAGCCCAGGGCATGCTAAAATCTGTTGTTATTTAATGTAAAATCCACTACTTTCTTTCCTTTCACGAGTTTGCATATCTGTGAAGGTGTACAGTAAAGGGTCGGCAAGGTAGCTCAGTGGGCAAAGTGGTTAGTGCTTGCCACTAAGCCTGACGACCTGAGTTCAAATTCCCCAGGAACCACATGGTGACAGGAGAGAAATTATTCCCACAAGTTGTTCTCTGACCCGTATATCTATTCCATGGCATACATATGTGTCCCCCCCCCATAAACACACCTATGCCATGGCATACACATGCCCCCACCACTCACTACCCCTACACACACTCGCGCGTGTGCGAGCGTGCGCGCGCACACACACACACACACACACACAATGTTTAAAACACATAGAGGTAACTAGTAGTTTTGAGTGCTTCTGGAAGGAACTGAAGGAGTGTTTATCCCTTGGACTGCCTGAATATTCATATGCATGACAAGGATATCTGTGTGTATCCATGTGTCTACTCTTAATAAAAACTAAGTGGGTAAATGATTACAGTGTGTCATACTGAATGAAGGACAACTAGACACACCAGGAGACAGAAGAGGCAACAGTGCTCCACCACAGGGGAGGCTGGTGACCTCCAGCACAGAAGTGTAGACCGGGATGGGACGTTGGGAAGTCATCAGTGGGTAAGGAATGAGCAGAGCTGAGACAGGGCCAACGCTTGCTCAGAGACCTAGGAGGCCCTCACAGTTCTCCAAGGAACCGGAGAAACAGCACCAATGCAGGATGACAGAGGCTGAACGCGAAGGAAAATCTTCCAAGAGAAACTCCAGACACTGAAAAGTGGAGGAGAGTGGTGTTTAAAATAATGGTTTCAGTTCATAGTCTCAGGGGTACACTTCTAGACACCGAGCACCCTGGCTGGTGCTTGCATCCTCTGCATCAGTGGCAGAAAGGGTGTATGTGCGTGTGTGTGTGTGTGTGTGTGTGTGTGTGTGTGTGTGTGAACGAACTGTCCTTCCTTTCCCTCCAAACATTAACATTTACTGAGTTTTGCAGTCTCTTCTATGACACACTCAAATTACAGCTAGTCCTCACAGTGTCACCTACCCATAAATGATTGTACAAAGCTTCCTGGTGACTTTTAAAATTTTTATTTAGTATCATTAATTATCCTCATCATCATTACTATTATTTGGTTTTTTTGAGACAGGGTTGCTCCATGCAGTCTTGGCTATCCTGGGAATTTGCTATGTAGACAGGGCTGGCCTCAAACTCACAGAGACCCATCTGCCTCTGCCTCTCAAGTGCTCAGATTAAAGGCATATGCTACCATGCCCAGCCAGGTTTTGTTCTTAAATAGGAATGAACTTAGAAATCAGTAGTTTAAGAAAAGCCTCCTATGTGAAAACAAGAGACTAAAACAAGCAGGGGAAAGCACTAGATCTAGAGATACTGCAGGGAGCAAGTTGGAAGTTTAGAACAGGAACTAAGAATTAATATTGAGGGATTGTGACCGGGCTCAGCAGTTAAGATCACCAAGTTCAGTTTCCAGCACCCACACTGGTGGCCCACAACCGTCTCTTGTCCAGTTCTTCTGATCTCCGTGGGTACCACCACACACATGGCAGACACACAGACATACACATAAATAAATGCAATCTTTTGTTTTGTTTTTTTCGAGACAGGGTTTCTCTGTATTGCTTTGGAAGCTGTCCTGGAACTCGCTCTGTAGACCAGGCTGGCCTCGAACTCACAGAGATCCTCCTGCCTCTGCCTCCCGAGTGCTGGAATTAAAGGCGTGCGCCACCAACACCCGGCTAAATGCAACCTTTAAAAAAGTTTTTATTTATTTACATGCATGGCTGTTTTCTCTGCATGTATGTCTGTGCACCACGTGTATACCTGGTGTCTTCAGAGGCCTTAGGATTGGAGTTACAGAAGTACGAGCCACCATGTGGATGCAGGGACTCAAGCCCAGGTCCTCTGCAAGAGCAGCCAGTGGTCTTAACCCTGAGCCCTCTCTTCAGCCCCAAAATTATTATTTTTAAAAATAAAGGATGGACTTCAAGAAAAAGAATCAACACCGGCAGTAAGAAAAGTCATAATGGAACTGCAGGAAAGAAGAAAGGGATCTCAGATCTCAGAAAATGATAGCAAAACCAGAAAATTAAAAAAGATTGTTGGGATATAAAATGAGGACACCTATCTGAAAGTCATAGAGAGACAAAAAACAAAACAAAACAAAACAAAAAAACCCAAAAAAACAAAACCAGAGTCTAAGTCTAGGAAGTATCTCATAACAGAAGAGTTTTGAGAAACAAGAAAAAAAATGGAAGAAATCACAGGAGGACATTTTCCTCAGCTACAAAGTTGGGGAGAGGAGTCACACAGCAAATGGTAACACCCACTGCAGCATACGATAAGATACATTAGTATACTCGATTTTCAAACAGTAACTATTACTTTTCACTATGCACATGCCTGTGTGTTAGTATGTGTACAGTGAGTGACCAGAGGTGTCAGGGGCCCCTAGGCTGGAGTTACAGGCAATTGTGAGCTGCCGGATGTGGGTACTGGAAACTAAACTTGAGTCCTCTGCAAGAGCATTTCATGGTAACGGCTGAGCCATTTATCCAGCCCCCCACTGAGATAGATTTTAAAAGCTTTCAGGGGAGAAATAATATGCTGTGTTCAACGATTTAGGACTAAGAGGAGTATTCGATTTCTCAGCAGCACCAGTAAAAACCCAACAGAACAATGCTTCCAAACCATGCTAATGGTTTCTGTCTGGACTCCCGTACCCATCAAGTCACCACTCAATCATGTGTACTATGAAGGAGCCTGCAGTGTCTTAAAAAAGAAGCATTTGCACCTACCATTTGTTAGGAAGCTCCCAGAAGATGTGTCCACAAAAAAGAAAGTCCACGAAGTGACAAAGGAGACTCTAAGTCACAGCTAAGTGGCAGGCCTAATAACTAGTGTGGTCACTCATTTAGATACCCAGAAAAAGAATGAAGTCAACAGATCCAGGATGTTTGACCACAAGGAAAGACATCAGACGTACTTCTTAACTCCACTGGAAAGTTTGGGAAGAATCCAAGAGAGTGCAAAAAAAAAAAAAAAAAAAAAACTTAACCAACTAAAAAATATGAAAAAAAAAATCCCACTTCCAGGGTGGAAAAAAAAATCTACAATGAAGGAAACTGCACAACATAGCACTCAGCAGTAAATAACACACCAGCACAATTAGGTAACCAACTTACATCGTTGTAACTGTAAGAGCACGCAGTCCCTGTTCTGAGAGGGTGGGAAGGAGAGAAGTGACCTGCGTGGCGGGAGAGGCCATGTCTTCATCCTCCACAGTAGGAATCTCTAGGTAACATCTAAAATTAGACCGGGAAGAGTAATGAACACCCGCAACAGTGCACTTAGGTATGACTCTGTTTGCCTATCGGGGCCGAAGGCATCAAATATGAGGTACCAGGGCCAGGAAGATGGCTCGGCAGGTAAAAACAAAACAAAAACAAAAACTTGCCACCGAGCATGACAATCTGGGTTCAATTCCTGGGACCTGTATGGAAGAAGGAGAGACCCAAACTCCCACAAGCTGTCCTCTGACTGGCAGGCATGTGCCCACATACACGCACACAGATGCAATAAATAAATATACTTCTAAAAAGGTTTTAAATGGAATTTTGTTGCCTCTAATAGGGCAACAAGACCCCTACTAGATACCTCGGGCTAATAAAAAACCCAGTGCCAGAAATTTACTTCTTTTGGAGTTGGCCAGTGAGGTACCACAGACCTCCCACATTATAGCCAATTGCCAATGATACTGGTTACCCTCTAGAACTTGATGGTGACACCCTACAGCTGAAGACACCACTTGAATTGAGTCATAGAAAATGGAGAAATCAAGCTCATACTGACCTAGAAGCTTTGTCCCTATTGGCAGCACTCATATTGTGGAGAGAAATGTAATCACAAATCTCACCCACTGGTGAACCCTGCAAGGGACCATAATGACACGCCTGGTAAGACATGCCCACTGGTACAATAGTAAGATAAATGTCATGGAAGTAACCAACCACTTTCTGACTAGACTTAACACTAGTCCCTTAAGATAGAATCTATTATCTGACACCATTACTGAGCCAAGAACCTGTGGCTAGACAGGTACTAGGCCCTGGGGGAGAACCTACTATCATTCTAAGTGAACACAGTATTTAACAAACCGCTAATGACTTATCATAATACCCAGGGATTAGAGCGCCTCTCTACCCTCATCAGAGAAGCTTCTCTCTTCAGCAGATGGCCATTGACGGAGACTCACAACAGGTGCAGTGCAGACAATAAGAGGCCGTGGAATGCTCAGCCCTGAATGGGACGTCTGTATCATAAACCCGCTTCCAAGGCTCAGGGGTCATTGCAGAAGAGGGGATGGGAAGAGTTTCCTGGACGGGGCAGTTGCACACATGAACTAAGAGTAGCTGAGACATCACGCACAAGACCTTTGCAAGCTCAAGTCAGACAAAAGTCCAAGCCCTGGGAGGGGAGGTGGACACAAAATTCCACCCCCTTTGGCAATTGATGGCTTCTGGGAACGGGATAGCCAGCCTTTCAAGGGCGTAGTCCCAGGTAGGTTGACCATGCTCAAATGAAAGAGCATATATATCCAAGAGCACACATTGGATTCAATGACTTTTTTTTTAATGATACAAAGTTGGATGGGTAAGAAAGTGGGTGTGGATCTGGGAGGAGTTGGAGGACAGGACTGAATACAATCAAAACATATTGTACAAAATTATCGAATAACTACTTTTTTTAAGTGAGGCACCCAGCATCTACCATTCAAGTAGGATCGTGGCACAAACACATAAAGCAGTCGGTGCTGCCACTAACCTGTGTGTGATGAGGAAGCAGGGGGTGGGGGTGTTTGGGGAGGGCTGTTAAATGGATTGTGAGCCCCTCCCCCCACCACGGGGAAGGCGGGAATGCACCACCTGTCTCCCTGTAGCTGAGGCTTGTCACAGGGGCAGCTGAGGGTGCTGCTTGTCAGTGAACTGCTCGAACACCAAGCCCCGAGTTCCACAACCACACGGAGGGTTCTGCCACCGGCGGGAATGAGCTTGCAGCCCCCCCCCCCCCCACCCCCCACCCCCCCCACCCCCACCCCCGTCCCAGGGTCCTCTCAGGCAGTCTCTGGGCCGGTAGCTTGATTCTGGGTCTATGAGAACCAAAGCAGGGAGCCCAGCTGAGCTGGGAACTGGAGAAATTCAAGATAATAAAGATAATCTGATCCTTCCTGGCTACTCTCATCCCCAGGGTGGTAGGGTCCACCCCAAAAATCAGATGTGAAAGAATTATCGTGGGACTGGCTTGTTCTTTATCACCTAGCTCCAGGCTGCCCTAACCTAGAGATACGGTCCTGTGACCAGCTCTAGAGAAGTTGGCCCTCTGGCTTCCCCTTGATCTTCTGTCTCAGCCTCCTGAGTCCTGGGATTACAGGCATGCACCACCATGCCCAATGACAAATTTCAGCTGCTTAACAGTTAAATGTAAATCAGATTTCTAGATGATTTTTGGCAGGAAGCAAGAGACCTCATCAAACATGATCAAAGTGTGAAAACAGAAGTAAAACATGGAAATAAAAGAACAGTTGGATATTCTTCAGAATGACAAACAAGACAGCTCTAAACGAGTGAATCCAAAAATGAAAGACTAACAGGAGACACTGAGAGTAAAACAGGCTGTAGATAGAACTCAGAGGTTGAACACTTGTCTAGCATGCAGGGGCCCTGACCAGGTTCTGTCCCAACAGTCATGAAAAATCAAACGGAAGCAAGACCTCCTCTCTGTGAGAAGATGAGTGAGTATCCCCTGTGGGTTCAGCACTGTTGAAACAGCCAGGTACCTGACAGGTGAGTGCATGTGACAGGAGAGGGGTTATAATCCGAAGTCTACATCTACTGAGCAGCTCTGAGCCATCCAACTGCTCAATGGATGGATGGAAATTGATATTAAGCTTGGCTGCACCAAACTGAGATTTCTGTTTAAAAACAGGTCAAGGGCTGGGGATGTAGCTCAGTGTTTGTACTGGACACAGGCCAGCATCATCAGAGAGGAGGAGCCTCAATTGAGAAAATGCCTCCAAAAGATAGATAGGGCTGTAAGCAAGCCTGTGGGGTGTTTTCTTAAGTAGTGATTAATGGGGAGGGCCCAGTCCATTGTGGTTGGTACCATCCCTGGGCTGGTGGTCCCAGGTTCTAAAGGAATGCAGGCAGAAGTAAGTTACGAGGAGCAAGCCATTTGGTAGCATCCCTCCACAGCCTCTGCATCGGCTCCTGCCTCCAGGCTCCTCCCTTACTTGATTTCCTTTCATGATGAACTGTGATGGGGAAGCAGAGTAAACTCTTTCCTCCCCGAGTTACTTTGGTCAAGGTGTTTTATCATAGCAGTAGTAAGTCAGTGGTTGTCTTAGGGTTTTATTGTTTCCAGGAGAAACCATGATCACAGCATCTCTTATAAAGGAAAACATTTAATTGGGGCTGGCTTACAGTTCAGAGCTTCAGTCTATTATTATTATTATTATTATTATTACTATTATCATGACCGGAAGCAGACATGGTGCTGGAGAGGAGC